TGTCTGAATTTTCCATATGGGTTTGTGCTCTAAATTCAATTTTAAATTGTTTTATACATGTTTTTAATTTGTTAAATATAATTGTTTCTATGGAGATTGCCACTACTTAAGCCCCTTGAGGGTTTTTCGGCAATTGTCCATCACATTTTTTTGTGAAACATATAACACAGTTTTAATGTTTTGTTGTGAAAATAAATAAATAAATAAAGAAAGAAAGAAAGATAGTGATCTACCTTATACAAATAAATAATATTGGTCTGACTACTTCAAAACTAGTAAAAATGTGTTAAATATTATAATATAAAAGTATTGTGTGCAGCTCTTTACAATCTATTTATTTTCCACAAGGTTAATCTTATCACCATGGAGAAATTCTGTGAAAATCCATGGGGTTGGGTGGAGCCAAACCTCTGCTGTACAGGAAATACTATCACTACCACTGGTACTATTTAAAGCAGTCTATATGGCAGCCCTTCTATTTAAAAGCTTAGTCTAACCCCACCCAGACATTTCCAGGGTTACTAACAATTGGTGTCAGCTGAGCAGAGAAGTCACATAATGGGTAATGACACGGGATAATTGTTGTTTATTAAGGAACCATAGAAATAATGAGCAAGAACATTGAACGATCGAAAATATGGTTACAATATACACCACACATGCACTTAATGTGCATGAGGACATTTAGACTGCACTGCATGCCATTGAGTTAGCAAAAAAAGCAACACTAGCTGCATCTTGAAGATATGATAAAGCAAAAGTTTTCATTTTTTACGAACTTCTTATAATGGCCGTTTCTCAATACCAAGTACGCGGACTTGCGTGCTTGGTAGTTCGGACTTGCCAAGTTCGACTCAGGAGAACGAACTCCCGAGGACGAGAGGACGCAAGTCCAGTTATTCTGCTAATGGAACAGTGCGTTCTTGATCGCGTCACTCAGCACGCTCGGGCTACTCCGGTTATCTCTTTACGTATATTTTAGGCAACAATAAAACGAAATATGCTACAACTCTGCCTCTTTTCGTCAACAATAAAACGAAATATGTTATAAAACACCACCCTGCCTCTTTTCATTTAAAAATCTTAAACATTGTAGCCTAATGGCCATGTGGTTCAGGCAACGCATATTATCTTCACTGCATATATTTATAACCAGGGGTGGTAAAAGTACTCAATAGTTATACTCGAGTAAAAGTATATATACCTAAATAAAAAATTACTTCAGTAAAAGTAGAAAGTCCTCCATTCAAACATCACTTGAGTAAAAGTACAAAAGTATCTGATTTAAAACGTACTTAAGTACCGAAAGTAAAAAGTAAATATTCAAATTAACTGTAAATATAAATAATTAAGCAGATCAATTGTTTTGGGAGTGATATGCAATGTTTTATTTGAACAAATGATAAGATTAGATACTGCAATTAAGAATTTGTTAGCTAGCTGTTTACACGGGTTTCAATATGAAATCACTTGGCTAATAATAGTAACATTAAAGCACTAAAGAACTTTTCCTCTGCAGTCCCCCTACAGGTTGGAAGCGGCATTGTCCGTTACCGCTGTCGTAAATAATTTAGCCTACCGCAGCCTACTGTCGCACGCATGCTCGCTGTTTATCCAGCACCGGCTTTAGAGTGAATGATGTCCAATTGTAACGCTTGACGTAAAGCAAGTCAAATTTGTAGTTTTCTTATGTCTCATTCGAACTACAGAAACGCGACCCGATCTGGCAAACTTATATAGTGTGGTTCTAGGACCACAAAGCTAAGGCAGAAGTGCCTTTCAGCCTGTTACGACTTGATGAACCGCTGAAACGATTTTGGAAACATTATTTTAAGGTAAAAAATCTTCTTTAGTGTTGCTTTAACGTCAACTCACTTCAATATGTTTTCTCAGTTTTGAGGGTGAAGTTTTGAATGCTGAAATTTAATTCACCCGTGGCAGGCAAAGAAGACATTTCAGCCGATATTAATCTCCCTTGACTTAAGTGAATTCGAACATATCATTGATATATGGCCTTGGGTGATCCCTGTCGGAAATCTTGGGATCATTGCTGGCAGCGAGAGCTGCACCTTCACCGGTTTCTGCGGTCAATGGCGAACTGACTGACTGCTATGTGAGCGTATGCTGGCACAGAGCTTGCGCCGCGCGTTCTTTTTTTCAAAAGAAAAACAAGTTTTTCATTGGTTTGGAAAGCCAGTGTAATAAATACTTGGACCGAGCATGGGGAAATGTATCAGAGTAAAAAGTAAACTTTGTCTTTAAAATTGTAGTGGAGTAAAAGTGAAAGTAGATGCAAATAAAACATACTCAAGTAAAGTACAGATCCCCGAAAAAAATACTTAAGTAAAGTAACGAAGTATTTTTACTTCATTACTTACCACCACTGTTTATAACAACATGAACATGATCATGTTTTCATTTTAAAAATATGAAACATTATTGATTTTTATTGACATTTAACAAACAGAGACAGGGTTGTGTCATTTTATTTTATTGTACATATAGTGAAGAGAATGTTAAAATAAATATAAATATATATATATATATATATATATATATATATATATATATATATATATATATATATATATATATATATTTTAAAGTATATAAAATAAAATGACACAACCCTGTCTCTTTTTGTTAAATGTCAGTTTTAATGATCAATAATATCTACAATGATAAAGAAGGCAAACAATTCAAACATAAGTAAGCTCTCTAATATAGGCTACAAAGTTAAAGTTAAATAGCCTAAATATATAAAGTTATGAAACTTCACTTTGCCCTCAGCCAAAACGATTTTCTCATTGAAACACTCTTAAAATTACATTTCATGACACAATAACAGTAGTATTTTGATATTATGCGGGTTTTCTCCTCTGCTATTGACGCTTGCTGGTTGGTGCGAGATGCATTCTGGGATACCTGGCTGTCTCAAGTCCGCACAAGTCACCTCTCGATGCATCCTCGGTAAACGGGGCGGATCAAGAACACATCCGGGGATTTGAACTGGACTTGGCTAGATGTGAACTTTGAATTGGAACAGTACTTGGGCAGTGACTGATGACGTTTCACAAGTCCACAAGAACACAAGTACAGACAAGAACGCATATTGAGAAACGGCCAATATCTTTGGAGTCATGAGGTAAGAAACATCAATAGTGTCAGATTCTGCCATGCTTTTGTAATACTCAAGTATTCTGTTTTTGGGATCCATATACCTGACATTTATTTTCAATGAAGAGAAGATTTGGGAAGTCTGGGGCAGAGACGAGAGGAAAACCGTAGTCTTTTACGTGAGGAACCAATTAGAGGTTAAATAATTCTTTCAAAATATCCCTGTAATATAACAAGTTGCACAGTGAATTAACTAAATGAAAGGAAGATGCAAAAGAAATAACTCATTTTAAGTGTATTGTGAACAAACACCTGATACCTGATCTTTGACTCAAACTATCCAAGAAAGCCTTTCCACTCTTCTCATCCTCAGAGACGAGCATCTTAGCCCAGTCTTACATGCATATTATCTTACTAAAACGATATTATTTCGCAATTCATCAAGGTGGATAATGGATATGTCAACTTAAACCAGACTTAAAAAAAAAAAAGCTTGGGAGTTGAAGCATAATTTTGAAAACACCGGGTGAAGTGGATTACCTTCCTATTTTACACCTTCAGGTAATCCAGGCATGGCTAACCCCACTAAGCCTGTGCTAGCCACACTTAGAGATTCACCTTTATGTCACAGCTATTTGAGGCTACAGTGATTGTCGCTGTCACTTTTTGCTATAGCGTTACCTAACACCTAAAGCCCTGAGATCTGTCACTTGCACAAGTTTGGTTTTCTATTGAGATGGGGACCTTCACAGACTTATAGTTTTTATACTGAGCAAATCATCTCCTACCCCTAAATCTAACAGTCACAGAAATGATTCTGCAGTTTTTAGCTTTTCGAGAAGATTTTATTTATTGTTTAGGAGTTTCCTCACAATATTAGTGTTTTTAGCATCCTTGCAGGGAGATTTGAGACCCGAATAATACAGTTTTTGCTATTAAAATACCTAATATGTCATTCACACTGAATGAGGAAGTAGCAAATGGTTTGTTCTGATGTTCCACATGCCTCAATAAATTGCATAACACATGCTTATAATCCATATACCAGGGGTGGATGACACACATATGTGCCATTCAAGGTAAATTATACAAACAAATTAGGATTAAATCCCCTTAATTTATCACTATTCATCCTATTTCAACAATTAGATTTGATCCAGCATGTTTGTGCACCAACCGTTCGTGCAAAAGGAAAAATAACAGTGTTTGGGAGCAGGTGACATGATACTGAGTTTATCTGATCCAGTGTTATAAATAAATTATATGTTCTCGTCAGGCCGACAGTTACATAAAAACCTCCATCACGCATGTGAAACAAACCAGTTTCTCCCTCCAAAACACAGCTGACAGCGGCGTTCACATGCGCACACTGAATTGCACACATGAACACCTCCCTTTAAAGAAATGGCCTTGAGCGGACACATGATTAAAAATGAGTGCTGCGTTACAGTATGATGTGTACGTGTATGTGTGTGAGAACTCCATATACAAAGAGAATTCTGAGGCGGCCAGCTGGGCACATAAGCCGTAACTGCAAAATCCAAATAATCCTTTACAAAGACAAGCCATCTATAAAGGGGGGTGAGGCAAAAGCACAAAGAAAAAAAAAACAGCATATATGCCTGCTATTGTACATTAGAGTGCATAAGCGTGCGTGCGTACATATGATATACATTTACATGTGTGTGTGTGTGTGTGTGTGTGTTGATGTGTGTCTATGTTTGAGATATCCAGCACCTTCAGATCTATATTGAGTTACCGGAATGTCAAGCCACTCAAAATAGCCGGACAGCTTATGGCATTTAAAGCAATCACACGCCGGGCCGGACACGCAACGAGAGGCAAACAGGAGGCAATAAGATAAAAATAGACCAAGCCCTCACCTTCCATCATGATTGCAGATTTGCATTCCTCTATCTCCAAGGAGCCTGAAACGGGAGGAGGGGAGGAGAGAAGCCCCTGGTTACCAGATGAAGAGATGTAAAAAAAAAAAACAGAGCCCACTTCCAGCCTCCAAAACCCTTAGGTTTAAAGTCCCCGTGTCCCTCGTACGACGGGCCGTCGGATGTTTTAGGGCTCCGTGTTTAGGCCATGGATGCTGCTGCTAGTCACTGCGGCTGTGGTCTACACGATTACCAAAGGATGCTCAAAAGGGGGCAGGAAAAAAAGCAGAGTGGAGAGAGACAGAGAGAGAAGGAAGGAGGGAGGGAGGGAGGGAGGGATGGGGAGAGAGAGAGAGAGCTAGCTGCTGGAAGGGAGGCTTGCTGAGGTCATCACTCAGCTCAGCCAATCCTGTGTGCACTGCTGCATGTCACATGGCGAGTGGTTCAGCGCTTCTGTCAGTGTCCTCGCTGGGAATTCACATGCAGACACACACAAGCACACACACACTTGCACACAGCTTACCTTGTTATGGTGCAGCATGCCGCTCCTGCCAAAACAGAAAGGAACTGGATTAATGGCGCGTTGGGTGCCACACAGCTAAATACAGGAAACTGTCCATGTTAAACACACACAGACGGAGATACGGTTACACGTTGAGGCTCAGCTGGCGGGCCGTGGCTGCCTCTCTGTGACAAATCAATCAATGTGACATTACATCTGACAGAAACAGTAGCTGCCCCATGGAGGGAGGAGCCAGCACTCAATACACTGACTTGTGACAGAGGAGGAGGGGAGGAGAGAGAGAGAGGCTGTGTGTTTGTGTGAGGGCTGGTGATTCATTTTATATGAGGAGGTGGGTCTCCCCCTTTGGATCACTAATGAAAAGACAAAAAAAAAAAAAAAGGTTGGGTGGCCTGACAAAATCCTTTTTCTATCCCAAAAGCATAAGCTGCAGTTTTGATCAAATTTAAAAAAGGGGCGGATGATTTTGTGAGGAACATATGTTAACTAATTAAAACAATACATGTTAAAAAATAAAACTGTAAATGTAAAATTAAACTCTTTTGCTCAACAAGGCTGTGTTTATGTGATGAAAAATACAGTAAGTGTAATATTGTGAAATATTAATTCAACTAAAAACTGTTTTTTTTATATGTTTATATTCTAAAATGTAATTTATTTATACCTGTAATGGTAAAACTGAATTTTCAGCATCATTACTCCAATCTTCAGTGTCACGCAAACCTTCGAAATCATTCTAATATGCTGATTTGGTGATCAAGAAACAATTATTATTATCACAGTTGAAAACCATTGTGTGCTGCCTAATATTTTTGTGAATATGTTTTTTTTACCCTGAAATGGCAAGCTGATGAAAATAAATTATACAAACATATGAATGTTTTATCAGTATTAAGTTGTTGTTTTAAACTGGATATCTCTCCTTAATAATAATAATAATGCAAATATGAGTGTATTCTGTGGCTATTTTTAACCCTGACACACTCACACTCAGCCAGGCTTGGATAAGACATGAGACACTGTTTCATTCTCAAGCTTCTGTTCACCTAAGTCATGCTCTGGTCCATGTGAGCGTCTCTTCCCCTTATTGCTGTCTGTCTCTAGCGCCCTCTGTCTGTAGTCTACCTGCCTGAACCATACATTTCCAATTATTTATGTTAAAAAATGTATTTATTTTTAAAAAGTTGAGAGTATAAGTTCAAAAGTGATCCAGACATTGACAAAGACACAATTTTCAGTTTCAGTTTTCAAATGACATTTATCTTCTTCTCAATCCTGAAAATATGGTCAAATCCTTAGACAGTATTATTCCTAATCAACACAGTCTGCCCTAAAACAAAACCCACCCAGACTCAAACCTCCCTATTATAGCAGATGCTGCCTGTGAATAAGTCCCCTCCCCCACTCCATCCATTTTACCCGATTTTACCCCACCCCAGATAACCCCCTTCACCTCCCAGTGGACCAGATCTTATCCTTCCAGTGTGCAGGTGCACAAGTGTTTGTGTCTGTGTATTTACAAGATGCTAAATAAAGCCTTAAGGTCTAATCCTTATGTTAATGCAGTAAACTATAAGTATAACTAATATAAATGACATGATTTTAGTCAGCTTGTCATTATTAGTCAGTAGTGCAAAGGAAAACTGTCTGCTCTCATAACAGTCCAGGGAGAGAGAGAGAGAGTTATACAGACAAACACATGATTTATAAGCAGGAACAACCCTAACTAAAGGGATGTTATTGCTGTGTGCAATATTATTAGGTATAGATAGAGTTTTTAAAAATCACATTGTTTTCCATTTTGATATACAAATATTATGGTTAACAGTGTGGAGTCTATAATACTTTTTAAAGTTTTTAAATGAATTACTTAAAATACTGTTTTCTATATTAATATATTTAAAAATGGCATTTATTCCTGTGATGGCAAAGCTGAATTACTGACATTACTCCAGTCTTCAGTGTCACATGATCATTTAGAAATCATTCTAATATGCTGATTTGGTGCTTAAGAAACATGTATTATTATTATAACAGTTGAAAAAGTTGTGCGGCTTAATATTTCAGTGGAAAATGTGATATAGTTTTTTCAGGATTCTTTGATGAATACAGAAAAACGGTAGCGTAACTAAAATAGAGAAAAGTACTGTATATACAGCACACATGAGGTTGTCTCCTACAATTTAATGTGATTAAAAATGCTACATGTTCAATAAATGATCATGGGCATCTTCTGAATTCATCTCTGTACTGCATAACAAATCCTGAATCATCTACAACCAACCACCAACTTCTGTCAACATCCTCCCAAACCTGCCTAGGGTGCAAAATATTTGTCAAAGGATATTTGTGGGGAAAGGCTAAAAGGGTTGGGTAGGTGTGTAAACACACACCTACTTTCACGGACATAAATAACTCAAATGAGGGAGGAAAGCTCAGGGAAGCAGACAAAAACAATAAACACTGTGTAGCTGTATCAGAAATCATCCTCTATCACCTAATTAACGGTTCCCTACTGTACGGGTCCTTCTCAAAAAATTTGCATATTGTGATAAAGTTCATTATTTTCCATAATGTAATGATAAAAATTAAACTTTCATATATTTTAGATTCATTGCACACCAACTGAAATATTTCAGGTCTTTTATTGTTTTAATACGGATGATTTTGGCATACAGCTCATGAAAACCCAAAATTCCTGTCTCAAAAAATTAGCATATTTCATCCGACCAATAAAATAAGTGTTTTTAATACAAAAAAAAAAAGTCAACCTTCAAATAATTATGTTCAGTTATGCACTCAATAGTCAATACTTGGTCGGGAATCCTTTTGCAGAAATGACTGCTTCAATGCGGCGTGGCATGGAGGCAATCAGCCTGTGGCACTGCTGAGGTGTTATGGAGACCCAGGATGCTTCGATAGCGCCCTTAAGCTCATCCAGAGTGTTGGGTCTTGCGTCTCTCAACTTTCTCTTCACAATATCCCACAGATTCTCTATGGGGTTCAGGTCAGGAGAGCTGGCAGGCCAATTGAGCACAGTAATACCATGGTCAGTAAACCATTTACCAGTGGTTTTGGCACTGTGAGCAGGTGCCAGGTCGTGCTGAAAAATGAAATCTTCATCTCCATAAAGCTTTTCAGCAGATGGAAGCATGACGTGCTCCAAAATCTCCTGATAGCTAGCTGCATTGACCCTGCCCTTGATAAAACACAGTGCACCAACACCAGCAGCTGACATGGCACCCCAGACCATCACTGACTGTGGGTACTTGACACTGGACTTCAGGCATTTTGGCATTTCCTTCTCCCCAGTCTTCCTCCAGACTCTGGCACCTTGATTTCCGAATGACATGCAAAACTGAGCAACAGTCCAGTGCTGCTTCTCTGTAGCCCAGGTCAGGCGCTTCTGCCGCTGTTTCTGGTTCAAAAGTGGCTTGACCTGGGGAATGCGGCACCTGTAGCCCATTTTCTGCACACGCCTGTGCACGGTGGCTCTGGATGTTTCTACTCCAGACTCAGTCCACTGCTTCCGCAGGTCCCCCAAGGTCTGGAATCGGTCCTTCTCCACAATCTTCCTCAGGGTCCGGTCACCTCTTCTCGTTGTGCAGCGTTTTTTGCCACACTTTTTCCTTCCCACAGACTTCCCACTGAGGTGCCTTGATACAGCACTCTGGGAACAGCCTATTTGTTCAGAAATTTCTTTCTGTCTTACCCTCTTGCTTGAGGGTATCAATGATGGCCTTCTGGACAGCAGTCAGGTCGGCAGTCTTACCCATGATTGCGGTTTTGAGTAATGAAACAGGCTGGGAGTTTTTAAAAGCCTCAGGAATCTTTTGCAGGTGTTTAGAGTTAATTAGTTGATTCAGATGATTAGGTTAATAGCTCGTTTAGAGACCCTTTTCATGATATGCTAATTTTTTGAGACAGGAATTTTGGGTTTTCATGAGCTGTATGCCAAAATCATCAGTATTAAAACAATAAAAGACCTGAAATATTTCAGTTGGTGTGCAATGAATCTAAAATATATGAAAGTTTAATTTTTATCATTACATTATGGAAAATAATGAACTTTATCACAATATGCTAATTTTTTGAGAAGGACCAGTATATAGTGTGAATTCAGACTCTGATACTGGAGAGGTTTTGTCACAAACATGATTCCATTTAACGAGACACAGAGTATAACAGAGTCTGTATACTTTTCATTGTGGTGTATTATGGGATTGAATGAGTGCACTATACAAAATCTCACCTATTCAAAATGAGTGAATTGTTGGACTAAATATTATGTTTTTTTAAATTAAAATGAGTTCATAATTAAAAATATTTTTAAATAGATAAATGAAGGTTTCTTTTCTGACATTATTGTATGATTGATACTTGATATCAATAAGTTACTTGATATAAGATTACTTGATATCAATAAGTTCATGACCTCTCAGGCATGACATGACAGTTGTACTTGTCTTGTATTTTATCAATTTGTACCTCTAATGCTTTCAAAAAAGTCACGGGACACCAAAGTGTACCGTATTCATGGCAAGTGGCAGCAAAAACATTCAGCATACTGTACTAGGCTATACAAAAATAGCACATACAGGTTATTATGAGAGGGAACACAATGACATTCAGACACATGTAACACACACATATGTGCACATACAAAAGGATGATATTAACTCACCAATGCAATTTCAGTAACTATCCAGTGAGAGGTTCTTTAGTCATCTTTGTCAATGTCCATGAGAAGCAATCAGCAGCGTCTCTTGGTGCTAAATAAAGAGATGAAAGAGAGTGAGATGGAGAGTGTCAAAGAAGCTGGAAGCAGATAGACAGCAATCTGAAACATGAAAGAACAGGGATGAGAGAACAGTCCAATTATTTCTCTACAGAGGGCAAACACTAGAAACACAGAGAACACAGGAACCCCAACAGAATACACACACATACAGTACAACAACAG